TTGCTTTTTCCCGGCCTGGGAAAAAGCAAAATGGTCAAGACTTCCAACCAAGCCATTTTCACTTTGGTGTGGTTTTGGTTGGACGCAGCCCTCCATGAACAAGAGACGGCTCAGTCAGGCCAGTTTGCTCAGACTTCCAATTTGCTTTTTCCCAGGCCTGGAAAAAGCAAAAGGCTCAGACTTCCAATTTGCTTTTTCCCGGGCCGGGAAAAAGCAAAATGGTTCAGATTTCCAATTTGCTTTTTCCCAACCCGGGAAAAAGCAATCGGAAGTCTGAAGAGCAATTGTTCTTGCAGCGTGGCCAGGTCACCAACATGACTTGCGCAGACCTTTCGCAGGACCTTCGCGAACCTTTCGCGACTGCAGTGAGAGCACACTCGAAATCAGCCTTTGAAATTCGATTACTAACAAGGAAGAGGTGGGTTTTCGAACGACGCTCATATGTCCAAAAGGGGCATACCTACCACGCCTGCCACCGGTTTTTGAAAAAGCGCCGAATGCGGCGACCTGTGTGTGTCCCACCCTGGACAAAGGGTCTTTCACCGCCACTCTCTCCATTTTACACAGGCAGGGGCGTGTGGCCTTCTTGTCCTACCACACGCAATGAAGCTGTGGACAAGAAGGGGAAGCAGGGACTGATCATCCCTGTGTACCTGCACCTTCAACTGTTGACCAAGCTTTTCCACTCTCGATTTGATTCATGGTCGTTTGCATGATACTTCCCACAAACCTATTCGTCCCCAGCAGCTGCGCCGCCGGTTTGATTGCTGCCACCTTTGTGACAACAATGTTAAACCTTTCAAGTGCTCGGACCCATGCACCTTTCTGTTCTCTCACCTTCCTTCCCAACATGACTTGCGTTAACTGAAAACCCAAGTTCGAAGTGTGTCTGATCCAAAACCTGTGAAGGGCACCAATTTACAATGGTTTGGGTCCATTTCATCCGTCCTCTTCCTGTCTTTGCAACAATAAGATTTGCTTCAGCCCCCGACATGTACAAGCCCTCTTCGAGGAAGTCAATACCTGCATTTGCGTCAACCGACTCTTGCAATTCAACGAGAAGCACTAGTGTCCAAAGCTCTTAAGTGTTTCCTTCTCGACCTATCTTTGCTCGGCAAACCTGATCCGGAAGAGAAACAGGATCCGTAATATACAGTAAGGTAAAACATACACCGTAATCGTTGAGCCTCACCTGTTCGATTCTGCACCGAGGCCCATGCCATCCGGTCGCAGCGTTTTGGCCACTACCGGCATCAATGGTTCTGCCTTGGGTAAATAAACACAATAACACAATCAAGGTCAATCAAGCATGTTGCAAACTGTTAGATCACACGAATCGGCCATTTGCAGGTCGAATCTTCATATGTGAGCTAGCGCTGGGTTCACACCTATCACATCGGTGAATTCGCCGCAGTACCACTAGACCACTAGACGCAGTTGTGGGCATACCTGTTCTGTCCCTACACCAAGTTTGAGACTTACATTCTGAAGGCCATCGCTAGTAGGTTGGAGGCCATCGCTAGAAGGTTGGAGGCCATCGCTATTAGGTTGGAGGTCATCGCTATTAGGTTGGAGGCCATCGCTATTAGGTTGGAGGCCATCGCTATTAGCTACTGTACCCTGCACTGTACACTTCCATGGTTTAGTTTGCACTTCAATGGTTCAAGAACTTGCACGTTCAGTGCTTTGTGCAAAACACCTGACGGACGTGACATTTCGCCGTAACGCTTTGAGGTCACTGCCAAGTTGGCGAAGAGTGTGCTACGCCTTTCCTGTTCTCGAGGATCCTGCGCTCAACCCACCAACTCGATCTAGATCTAATCCTCTTCGTTTAAAAACAAAAAAAAATGTATGTATATATATATATATGTTTATGTATGTGTGTAAAGGACTCAGAATGTCATAATGTTTGCAAAAGCACTTTTGCTGTTGCAGCAGGAAAACATTGTGGCCAGCTAATCTTGCGAGGCATCTGTCTCATGGAACCCAGGAAACATGTTGCATTCCCAGGAGATGCCAACAAAAAATGATGTGGCACTCTATTCTTTTTAACTGGCTATCTGTCTGGAGCACGTTTCAATCATTCGACCTGAGTCTGCAAGGCCTGTTGAGGACAGTTCAAGGACCCAAGAAAAATTAACCTTGCAGAGTGTCTCATTTTGAAACACGTCGAGAAATATGTCCACTTTGTACATTTCGAGAAATACTTCACATTTCGATGTTTAGTTCATGAAAAGGGCATTCCGAAGCTCAGGGCTTCTTCTTCCATCGCACTCGTGGCTCATCCATTCTCTGTCGCTCATTCACCTATGATTCGACGTGGCGGTCGGACAACTCCGAACGTCAATAGGGCAACGGCCAAGTATCTACACCGCTACACGCCTGTGCATTCCATGGACAAGCACTCAAAAACACAAGTGCCTGTGGCACGGCTTGCTCCTCTGCAGGAGGAGGAGGAGGAGGCACTTCTCTCCCCTGTCCAGGTATTCCACACTCAAAGCAAAAATATCAACATATCATTATTTTCTGTTTGTTGGCATGCAAAAACGACGTGCTAAAGAACAGTTTATGCAGAAAGTTGCACCAAGTTCACGACAGCCAAAAATTGGAACCAAACTTAGATTGGTTCTGCGTCATGGTTTGGTCAAAGCAGCAAAGCGGCAGCAAGCCGGCTACATCACTGCGAGAACGCTCCGGCATTGCTGAAACCTGCAGTGCCACCAGTTCTTTCCTTTCTTGAGCAACGGAGGCCTCAACATTCATTTGCAGATTCATGGTTCAAGTTTTGTCCAGGTCGCTTGATACTCCACAAAAACAGTGCATTCTGTCGGTGCCCATCATTTGCAAGTCTTTGCGTGTCTGGCTAAGATGGTGGCCCTCATTTCTGCCAGTTCCGTTTCTCTTTTTTGCATCTGTTGCACCTTCAAAAACTGTGAAGGCAAGGCTGGAACAGGTCGATGTTATCAATGTCCTGTGCACAGACCTGTAGTCTGAGACTGCTTTATTCCCCAAACAATATCGTTTGGATGGACCTTGCAAGCACAAAAGTCCTGAACAACTCCTATGAAGAAAAATTACTACGAAGAATGTACAGAACTAATTTGAGCAAGCGCCTCTTCGGAGATTCCGGCACAAGCAACACCTTGAAAGAGGCAATGCAAATAAAACACCACAGGCGAGTTCAAGTGCCAAATTAGGTCCCGGCATAAAGGTTCTAGACGGCGCTCCTGGTCCTGTCGCAGCCAAATGAGATGAGGCTCTACTTGAACAACTGGCATTTTTGCTTTGGCTGGGTTGTTAATTATATGATGTTTGTTGGCTGTCTTGTCCCGAGGATGTTCATCGTCGCACTCTTCACAGCCCCAAAATGAACCTGAAGGCGGTTTCTCCTCCTTCAGCTTAAGCTGGTTTGCGCGTAGCAAGCCGTAGATTCTGCCCGCTGCAGGATCTGTGACGTTCTCGAGGAATTCCTTGGCAGTCTACAAGGCCGGGCATGTGACAATCACACTCCCTCTCCCTCTCCCCCGGCTCTCTCCCTCTCCCCGTCTGTGTCTCTCTCTCTCTCTCTCTGTGGTGATGACAAAAAGAAAAGCAAAAACGGCAAGTCAGACTCAAAGAAAAAACATGAAAAGAAAGAGAGTGACAATCGAAACACAAACGGAGATCTGGGAAACAAGGGGGTTCCATTGTGGGAGATGCTGGCTCCTGTCTAAAGAAAGGTAAGACGGCTCAGAAAGGGAGCTTGAAGTCAGTCATGACTACAGGACCCTCAGTGGAAGGAAGAAGACCTATCTCAGGACTCGCAATTAGTGATTTGGGTATGGGTCTCAAAGAACCTTCTTTCAGGATCTTCCTTTATAGGTTCACGTCAAAGGGTCTCATTCCCAAAGGAGATAAATATATATATATATAGATAGATAGAGCGAGAGAGACCTCTTTAAGAAAAAACTATGTTCCAACAGAAAAAGCGTGCCCCTACTTCACCTTCCAAAACCCTGTTCCCAGGTCTTGGATCGCAATGAGCCTGGGCGCAGTGAAGAAGTCTTTTCGAAGCAGACCTTAATTCCTGCTGCAAAAATTGCAGGAGCCTCCCATGAAAAATGGATCTTGGGCGCAGGGTGCAATGGATGTATCCTTGAACACTTTACTGGAGGGTCATGGACCTGTGGAGGGAGTGGAGGAAAAGAACAACATGACCTTCTTTGAATGCCCGGGGGAGAACATTGGCCACAACATGACCTTTCTTGGTTCTGACTCCACCCAAGGGTGAGCTGCTCACGCTGAGGCCAGTGACAACAGATCAACAAATCTCTCTTTTGGTTTCACGCGTGTCCTTTTCTCTCCCTCTCCCTCTCCCTCTCCCTCCCAGAAAACTAATCCTTTCTTTTCTACCAAAGCTCTGGCTGCAGGACAATGTCCAGGAGCGCCAACGAATCAAATCGTTCTTCTGCAACACCCTTGAATGCCTCTCTCAACCATCTGACTCTGGCCTGCATTCAAAGCCACTTCGATCAACTCCGGCTTCGCGTTTCTGAGATTAATGAGCTCACAACAACAATGTGGTTGCATCATGGTACTCTCAGGGTTCTTTTCATACAACCAAAAGCCCATGGGCACGGAACGGCGCTTCGAAATATAAAACAGGGTTGCTATGTGTGTGTGTATATATATATATTGTATGTATCTATGTATATGTGTCTGTACGCAGGCAAAAAGACGCTTTGCAACATGAAGAGTGACTCGGTGTTTGTTCGATTGACTTTTTGACTTACTTAAATATACTTAAATACTGTATACTACAGCATATACCACTTCATGAATCGCTTTGGTTGCAAAAGAAGGTCCGTTTGACATCTTACAGTTTCTAGGGAGCCCTGTGACACCATCCAGCTGTTTGGACTTCCAGCCTGTGGCGTCATCTTGAAAACCTCTGCACTGTTAGAGGTTGGAGTTGTGTCACACGTCCTCAGGTGGCTGGAGAACGCGCTAACGGTTGGCAGCGAACCGGGTGAACCGTTGGCACCGTCCTGGCACTGTAAGGATTCACTGCCTGAAGCTGTAAGGACTTGGGGTCCCACTGTCTGCCCTGCCTGCTTGAAGCTGACGCCATGGCAATTCCAACATGGTAATGCACACAAATACTGTAGTTTAAAGCCCCTGAAGTTGTCGCGCATGAAACGTATGTTGAAGGATACTCCGAGAGCGGCCCCCATGTTCGTCCGTTCACATTGACGTTTTCTAATGTGCTGGATTATCATTCAACAAAAGGGAACCATGATGTCTTCTGAAAAGGCAATCAGCAAGGATATCCTTCAAACGACTTGGCTGCTTGGCATATTTGTCAATGGATCCGCGGAAACTTACCATGTGACAAACATAACGGCCACTCTGCTTTGTGTCGGGAAGTCAAGTTGAGGCTTGCATCTAAAATGCGCAGGTTCCCACTTTATCGAGCCAAGCTAGGACAACTTGGAGTATAATTGGAAGCCCGACAGCAACAACAAACACGCATTAGCTTGACATGGCTGAGGATCTTTTGCTTCTTCACCATCTGCTCTAAGCAGGCCAATTTCGCCGCAGGCCGTTTCCTGCATTGCATGCCCCTCGCTCAAATAGCACAGTGCACTTCTTTATGGTGAGAGACACAAATCCCAAGTTTTGAAGCCGAATCTGCTGACATGCGGAACAAACGTACTACCTTTGCGCACACTTGTTTCAATGAATTGCGGCGCCACAACCAAGCACAAGTAGTTGAGGTGTGCTTCTCAGAGGAGACTGTGGAGTGTTTTGTCAATTTCTTTACAGTGCCACTACAGTAGCATGCATTCAAATCCGTCCTTGGTTCGGGCTGGTCACGTCTACAAGACTCATGGTCCCTGGCGGCATCAAATCAGCGTTGATCTACACCAGGTGTTTGGGCTCCAACCCTTTTTGAAAGTGCCATTTTGCACCCTTATCAGGGCCCTTATCGAATTGGCCAAGAAAAGCAAATCTTGGGTGTCTAGCTTATCCACACCCGTATTGCTCAGAAACAAATTGAAGCAAAAAAGATCAAAAAAGCACGGCGACCGTCGAGCTTCCGCATCGAAGGTCGAACAACCACAAAGCTACACTGCAAGTTAAAGGATCAAAACAAGGGGCCCACAAGCCCAAGTCCACCTTCTTCTCTGTCTTCACACGTGCTTTTAATCAAGATTCAAAAAAGCAAATGAACATGAATAAATAGTGCAATAGTAAAAGACAATCGAAGCTTTCTGTCGTATGGTCTTTCCATTGCATGGAGTCTTATGCATGGCATCTTGCTACACGACCGTGTTTCTTCCGCACCTCCAATGGCTCATGACGCAGTGCCGCTCGTGACGTTTCACCCATCGCCAGGTGAGATTCACCCGCGGCAAGGTCGAGCGCTCCTGGTGTGAAAGTGTGTGATATAGCGAGGTGCAGGCTAATGCAGTAGCTGTGAGGTTTTTACTTCTGGAGTGCATGGTTTTGCATTTCAAGTGTTTGAGCAAGCGTTCCTAACGGAACTTTCCTGTCTTTCTTCATGTATATACTGCAATGTTTTTAATTGTTCCTTGTAGACCTGTTGACCTTTTCTTGTCCGTCCATGCATGTCCATTCACAAGGCCTATGTACGACACTTGAGAACAGAGTCCCAGAGTCCATCGAGCCCTCTGAGTGGAATACTTTTGCTGTCAAAGTGGTCCCTCCTTCGGCACACGATGCAAGTAATGCTTTTGCAGCATCCCTTCCATAGTGCACAAATCTCCTGGTCAAGCACAATCAA